TGTATATATTGGAAGCAGCCTCAATCACAAAGCGCGATATCAGTAATTACGAAACAATGATAAGTACAAGACATAAAAATGAACTTAAGTTACCTAAGAGTAGAACAGTTAAGTTTAAATCAAGTGTATTTTGTGTGAGTGTAAAAATTTATAATAAATTACCAGATTCTATTAAATCCATACAGACATTAGCTTCTTTCAAATACAAACTCAAAGCATTTTTGATACAGAAAGTATATTACACAATCAATGATTTTTTAAATGACAAATGTATAGAATAGATAATATCTAATAACTATTGTATTGTATAACTATTGAGTTGGGGATTTTTTTGTGTGAAATAATTTGGCTAGAAAATCATTAGTACATATACCTATACAGACTTCGCGGTTGAATAATGTACACCGTCGATATAATCATTTTTAACCGACTTCAAAAAAGGAGGTTTTCGATTCGACCTTATATTTGCTTTTTTTTTTTTTTTGTAATCGACTATCTTGTATTGTATGACTGTAATGTATCTACGACTAAGATGTAACATGTCTATGACTATGATACCAACGTAAATATTGTACTGTAATTGTGAAAATTATTATGGTGTCTTTAATTTAAAATTTTTATACTTTGCACGCTTGCTCGCAGGCAGAATACAATGACTTTGAGGCTATAAGATCTTCCTTTGTAAATATGTATTCTTGCAAATAAATGAATTTGAATTTGAATTTGAATTTGTAAGATGTCTAAATGTTCTCGTACGTCATTCTAGCTATAGTCAACAGCTTTTACGTGTGCCGTAACTTGCTGAAAAAAAACAACAAAAAATACCATCTGTAACTCATTGGAAGAAACCAATGTTCAGTTGTTCTCTTAGTGCACCTATCATTTTATACTATTTCTATGCAACCTAAAAGGGTTGTTTTTTTTATAGCATATAAACGAGCAGACGGATCACCTGATAGTAAGCAACGCCGCCTTCCATGGACACTCGAACACCAGAGGCGTTACAAGTGCGTTACCGGCCTTTTGGGGATTGGTTATTTGAGGATTCTGGAGGTTTCGGGGATTCGGGAGACGGGGACTAGGACTAGGGACCCGCAATTGGGCCTCCGGTAACCGCTCTTTGTAAAAAATGCCTACGGCATACACATTCGATACCAACAGCTTCAAATTCAATACTTTTTCGAACTGTTAAAAACGACAGTTTTCTACGGATTTTGTACGAGATTGTGTTTTGTGACGTCACGTTTTTTTTAGCGTCAAACAGCATAGTTATTACTTAAAAATTTACTAGAAAAGTACTAAAATGAAGTTGGTCATAAAATCAATTAATGAAAATGTGATTATTTTTAAATATTTTATTGTATTAAAAAGTCGAAATCATTTATTTTTGATTAAGGAAAATACCCAATTTGAACTCAAAGTCAGCTCGATTGTGGTCCGCCACGTCATTGGTTATGAGAATAATCTAGACTAATGCCGGGCGAGAATCTTTCATCTTATTCTTATACTATTATACATATATAAAGCGGAAGAGTTTGTTTGTTTGAACGCACTAATCTCCGTAACTACAAGTTTGATTTGAATAATTATTTTTGTGTTGAATAGTGCATTTATCGAGGATGGCTATAGGCTATAAAACATCACGCTATGACCAATAGGAGCTGAGCATAGCGTGTGAAACCGCGCTGAAATAGCTAGTCTTACATAATAGCCTAGTAGTCAACAGCCGTAGCTGAAAAAAAAAACAACGAAAATATCGATCTGCATCTCATTGGGGGACGCCTATGTTTAGTTGTTCTCCTATTGCACTTATCATTTTACTATTTCTATGCAACCTAAAAGTGAATTGTAAAAAATGGCTACGGCATACAAATTGGGTGGAATTAACGATGAGTGTGTTATTTTTATGCTAACCGTACCTACCAAATATTTTTTTGTATCACAAACTCAACTTGACTCATATTATTATCTAAGTATCTGTATTGTCATATTGAAATAGCAGTTGTCTTTAAAAGTTATAGTCAAGTTATAGTCAAGTTTTGTCAAAGTTCAATCAAAGTCAAAGTTATAATCAATATAAGCTGTTGATGTATCAACAGTTTATATTGCCCACTGCTGACCAAAGGCCCCGTGTCACACATCGAAGGTTTGAGCATTAATTGAGCATTAAAGTGCTGAAATTACATGGGACTCATAATATAGATAATGAAAAATGGGTATTACATTGTACAATATCATTAAGTGCCGTAATGTGCACCTCTGCCTACCCGTTCGGGGATAAAATGCGTGATGTTATAAATAATAAATAAAATAGCCTTTATTGCTGTTTCTTATCAAATATTATATTTTTTTAACATGCCTACTTTCTAACAAACTAATTTTTATTACTTACTTTGTAACTATCGGCAACTAGGTGTTTTTGTGGAACAGCTTGTCTGTCGAGAAAGGCCTCCTCTAAAGATTTCCATGTATCCCTGTCTCTAGCTAAACGGGTCCATACTGGACCAGCTATTGTCCTGATATCATCTTCCCATCTTTTCGTTTGTCTACCTTTTTTCTTTTACTGTCTCTTGGATACCATTCTGTCACTAGCTTATGCGCTTAGCGTGATGTTATTTATTTATGATTATAATAACACCTACTTTAAAATATTAAGCGCGGAATTCAAGAGTGTCATAGATAGGCAGTTGTATTATGTTGCTGGCCATCCATAGCGTATGTGTGTAGACAATTTTGTTGACTGTACCAGTTGACGATAAAAAGGAAGTCACGATGCATTAACATGTTGATATTACAAACGTGTAGCCATTAAACTGGCGACAACCTCCCAAAACCAGTTCAGCTCCTGTACACGTGGTAGTTTCCCTTGAAACCCGTCATCAGATCCTCAATTTGTGAAAATGGGGATCAGGATTGACCTCTGAGTTTGTTTCGGCATTTCCTCTCAGAGTAGTCAGTTAGGAAATGTCGACCTCATCGTTCGCTTGATAAAATTGACGTGTAAAAGTGCTGCTTTGTAGGCTATTTGCTGAACTAAATTCACTTGTTTCACTTGTTTAAGAAAATGTAACGTTTTCTAATTGTCGTACACCAATTGCTGGACTGGTCCCTTCACAGCAGACTTGGGAACTTGGGACATGAACATGTATCCATCAGTTCTTACTAATAGAATGACTTATCTGTACATGTCACTTGTTTAGGCGGGAACTAAAGGCCTTTCTTTCTTTCAATTATAATTTTTTATGGGACATGCCCAGCACAGCCTCCTAAAGCCGCTACTATACTATATAATATACTAGCCACCCGCCCCGGCTTCGCACGGGTGCAATATGCATGTATTCGACATATAAACATTCCTTAAGACTTTAACTGCCAATAGAAAACTGTTGAAGGTAACTCCTCCGCTAACGCCGGTCACCGGTGACCCCCATGGCGTTCAACGTGTCAGACTCTTACTGACTATAAACCACCCAGTTCCTACTCCTGCACTTCGAGCCGGAGCCTCGGTAACCCGTTAGGTCTTCCGTGGCTCCGTATCATGGGCATCACCTCTATTGAGCCCCATCTGTGGTGACCTGATGGCTCTTTGAGGCGCGCACAATTAGCCCACTCCGCGCCATGTAGTATGTGGTTACGGCAGATGGCGCCAGCATGAACGTTTCGTTCTTCGTCCCATAGGGAATCAATCTATTTGCTATTATGATACTCTAGTTTCTATTTGACTTTAGTTTAATCGACATAGAAACATTTTACTACAAGAATCCTACTACTTATCCGCTTTTCTTATGGCCCTACACAACACGCTTCCGCTTGCGCTCGGTAACTACACAATAGTGTTGGTCAATACACACACACACACACATACACCGCTAATCATATGTCACATGTATAACATACGGTGTTATGACGTAAAAACTGTGACAAATGAAGCTATGATGACCACTTTATCGTGGTCCCGCTTTATATGATCGTTCCATACATTCGAAGGTCAGTTTATACCGGACGTATAGCTTGATTCATAGAGATATAAGTAACCAATTTATCTTGGTCTCGCTTTATATGACCGTTCCATACATTCGAAGATCAGTGTATACTGGTTAACATAACATGATGCATGTAGATATAAGTATGTAACCAATTTATCTTGGACTCGCTTTATATGATCGTTCCATACATTCGACGGTCAGTTTATACTGGTTATACATAGCTTGATTCAGAGATGCCGAGTGCCCTTAACGAAGAGACGGTACTGCTCATGGGCCACATGGCTGAAATACTGGGTATTGTAGCTAATAGAAATCCCATGTTATATGGACCAAGACGATTAGGTACAGCTGGCAATAATCCAGATGCCATTGTAAATATTGTAGTCCAAAATTCCGAAAACCATAATAGGTACCACAGTTGATGAGCAACTCGACTAGTGTCAAGCCATGTATAATAATAATTAATTAATTTAGTATGTCTCACGAAGGTTTTATTATAAATTATAACCATAGTTGGGAACTGAATGGAATTTTGAAATGGCGTATAAATTGGCTGGAATCCACTGATATTTTTTGTCTAACTACATTATAAGGTACCTACAATAATTATGTATAAAATATTACGAAAATTCATCAAAATTCTTTCTTAACACATAACACTAGCAGAATTGTATATTTAAAGCTAATTTATTCATTATTTGCAGACATGCACATAGCAAATTAGCATTTTACTTAGCAATTTTAATTACAACGCCATCTAGGTTTATTAAATGTAATTAAGTTACCGTACTCTATTAACAGATGTCGCTATTTATTTATTTATTTCAACAAAATAAATATCTGCACGACCTATTTTGAATTTGGAATAACATTGTAATGACCTTTCCAGTTAGCTCAAAAACAAATGTTATTGACATGTCGAACGCTACATTCGAAACAGAACCTAAGACGCATAAAATAAGGTTTAGTTTTAATTAATAGATTGTAGTTAACTGTAATAGTTGAAAATCTTACCTTTCATGTGTTCTGAAGTGTCAGCTCTCATTATGTCAGTTAAATAATGTTCTAGCGATCGCATATTATCTAGACCGCTTCTTTCCTGAAACAATACATAAGAAAAGTGTTAATTTTCAAGTAAAAATCAAAATCTTATTTTCTATGAGCAATATACCAGGCAGATCGCTTGACAGTAAGGGAATAATGTCGACCATGGACAACAAAAAAGTCACAGTATCCACGTTGCCGGCCTTTTAAAAAAAGAATACGCATTTTTCTTAAACGTTTGAAGGTGGGTCTATACGTACGAAAATAGGTACTACGTATAGGCGACAAGTGTATAGCAACAGCTGGAACATAAGGAGTAGGATTCATTGCCAGAATTTGTATTTCCTGAAGGATATAACCTATTGTATTCAAGGTCCAAATGAATAGGTTATGCCTCTGTTAAACATCATCATGATTTTATTTAAAAAAGTAAAGGAGTATTTTTTAAGGTGGGAAAATCATCGATAGACCTGAATGAATGCAATCGATCATTCGAGAATTTTTGCAAGATAAATCTCCGTCAAAAAATGAATGAGATATCGCGTTATTATTTTATTACTAAATGATTTTTGTTTAATTATAGAAGTCTAGCCTAATTTGGTGTTTGTGTCTGCTTTGAAAATTGTCCTAACCCTATTGAGATTAAAATTAAAATAAGGCGTTAAATACCTAACCTCTTTTAAAGCAATCTACAAGATGACATAACCATAAATAGGTAGATATTTTTTATAAAACTAATTTCATAGGTAAGTACGACCAACTGTATAAACAAACATAAATAAATAAATTAAAATTAATGTACGTATATCTATTTATTTCAATTTACTAATATACTACAATGTACTATTTTTCACTTAGATGCTATCCCGTTTTCAAAAGGAATTATAAAAATAATCGTTGATGAGAGAATTAGACAAAAATCGAATTTAAAAAAAAATATTTTTCTACTAATACAACGCAAATTGCAATATGGCCCACCGGCGACCAATAAAAAAATAAAAACTGAATCTAAATCAAAGTTCGAATTTTATTTATCCATAAAAAAGTAATAAAACAAACATGTTTTCAATTACCTACACGTGGATACGCAAGTTAAAAGTTTTACGCGTACAAGTAAACTCCTGGATTCAGCCAATCGTATTTCATTGCAGCTTAGAAAACTAAATGTGATTGGTAGCATAAGTTTTCTGCATTGCAAATCGTAATTGAAAACTAGCTTAACCCTGCGTGACCCAATTTGAATTTGGAATCGCATTGCGTTGACCTTTCGACCTAGGTGCAGTGTTTAAAAAGAACTAGAATTTTTTAAATACTCTTTCACATAAGAGTCAACTTAAAGCCACTGCAATAGAGTTGATTTTCTTTCACCCTCTAAACCTTTGACTATTCGCTTCGTATAATTAATTTCGACTTTACGCTGTAGTGTATAAGATTCAATATAGCTTGGGCCTTCTTTCACGTTATGGCGCAATGCTGTACTGACGTCACACTGCGTAGCGAGAAAATGGGTCAGTAGGTTTACAGTATGGCTTATGTCCAGTTAAGTTAGACCTCTGATGCAACATAATAACTGAGATAAGAGGGGTCTTCGTAACATGGTTATTTTTCAGTAGGTAATGGCGCTCGAATGATTGATTCGAATATTGATTTTAGGTATTTCAATGAATTCTCTGTTTTAATGGAAAGTTATTTTATATTTTCTTTCAATAATTATAATGCAGTTTTTTTAATTAATTCGTTTCTAGGAATAATAATGATAGTTGCATCATGAGAATAATTGTTTTTAAACATCGCAGTTTTTATTCAAAGTCATTATTTGCAACGTATGTTGTCGTCTGTCATACTGCGAAGAATAAGGATAAACAGCAGGCTTACGAACTTAGAAAATTCACATTACGAATCAACTTTTGCCCTGATTAACCAAAATTCGACTATTTTAGAAGAATAGTCACATCTAGACAAAACATAAATATAACCTTTTTTATATGTTCTGTTTCATCCCTATTGGGGATGATGACAGGGTATTAAAATTAAAAATCTAACTAGTCCGTCAGTTAGGTAATGAAAAAATATTAGACACGTATTTTTTTATTCTATCGTATAATAAAACAATACTTAGATAAAACGAATCAAAATTTAGGAGTGGGGGCTAAAACGTCATTTTTTTAGTATAAAATGTACTGAGAAGTGACGTCACGAATCAATATATCGTCGAAACTATTCGTTTTCGTAAGAAAATAAAAAATACGTGTCTAATGTTTTAAAATAATCTATCAGACGGACATTAAAATAAAAATTAATCATCTACCCTATTCTAAATATTGTACCTACATGAGAATAATCTTTCGATATTTTTAAATACATTCACGCCCGGCGCCCCTGCGAAACGCAACTTGACACGTTAAGGGTAGCCATCTTACATCAAAATAGGTCGAACCACTCGGCCCCTTAGATTTGGGGGACAATGCAAAAGTTACATTAATGGAAACTTTATGAAAACGGCGTTTGATATAATAAAGATATACTTTCCTTTTACCCATGGCTTCATTCGCATGGTCAAAAATTGAAAAGTAGCCTAATATACCTAACTATAAGTATATCTAGTTAGTTATATAGCTGTCTTACACTTTTTAAGTGTGGGAGAACCATGTTTCGGCACTACTGGGCCGGAGGTTACCGGAGGCCCAATGAACTCCCCTCCCCAGTATCCCCAATCTCCAATGAAAAATGCCCCCCCCCCCACATCGCATCGTTGAGTGACCTGCATGACCTGCATCATAGAGTGTAACTCTATCCATTGATGTATGTAGAAATGCGAAGTACATACAAACAGCAAGATGTCTTCCCTCCACTGCTGAACAAAGGCCTCTTTCAATGATTCCTTATCTTTATAATCGGTTTTAAAATCAATGTCCTTATCTTCAAGTAAAACTTAAACTGTCAAACACCGCGAGGACACCGGTGACCGCAACCTATTGTTCTTTAATTGTGTCTATAATTACGGTATCACGGTAATCAAAGGGTTAAATCAATAGTTTTGCTTTCAGAGTCGTGTATCGAAGAGTAGAGCTTACATCTTGCCGACCTGATGATGGATAGATCATCAAAAATGTACTAAAATAAACGTAAAGCAACTTTCAGGAAGTAAAGTAATTATAGAAAAACCTCACTGAAAGACAGATCCTGTAATAATTAGTTACGGAAGAGCTGTTTACATGTGAACATTAGCTCATGACGATACCTAAGTACGTGTGTCGCCTGGACAGTCACCGCTACCATCAGTTGACTGGACAATCTCTTTACATGAGCTGCTGTTTACATGTGAACATTAGCTCATGACGATACCTAAGGACGTGTGTCGCCTGGACAGTCACCGCTACCATCAGTTGACTGGACAATCTCTTTACATGAGCTGCTGTTTACATGTGAACATTAGCTCATGACGATACCTAAGTACGTGTGTCGCCTGGACAGTCACCGCTACCATCAGTTGACTGGACAATCTCTTTACATGATCTGCTGTTTACATGTGAACATTAGCTCATGACGATACCTAAGTACGTGTGTCGTCTGGACAGTCACCGCTACCATCAGTTGACTGGACAATCTCTTTACATGAGCTGCTGTTTACATGTGAACATTAGCTCATGACGATACCTAAGGACGTGTGTCGCCTGGACAGTCACCGCTACCATCAGTTGACTGGACAATCTCTTTACATGATCTGCTGTTTACATGTGAACATTAGCTCATGACGATACCTAAGTACGTGTGTCACCTGGATAGTCACCGCTACCATCAGTTGACTGGACAATCTCTTTATATGAGCTGCTGTTTACATGTGAACATTAGCTCATGACGATGCCTAAGTACGTGTGTCGCCTGGACAGTCACCGCTACCGTCAGTTGACTGGACAATCTCTTTACATGAGCTGCTGTTTACATGTGAACATTAGCTCATGACGATACCTAAGTACGTGTGTCGCCTGGACAGTCACCGCTACCATCAGTTGACTGGACAATCTCTTTACATGAGCTGCTGTTTACAGATCTCTCACTCAGTTATGTGTTCCTAGAACTTGCATTCTACTCAGAAATTAGAATGAGACCGAACAATGTATAATTTCTTGGTACAATATAGTTAAACATGTAAACAATGTCTTACAATCGATTTTTATTTCCAAATACGTGCGAAGTTTTGTATATTTTGATGATAGTAATAAATCACGACAAACAATCACAATCACCCTTTGCTGACACTGGAAATCGTATGTTATTATTAAATCGATAAGGCCCAATTTTGCCCAAAGGCACAGCAAGCATTGCCAACTTAATGACAAGACATTCAATGCAGCCAATTGCAGGATGTGATAGGAAAAACTGGGTTAGATAGAAGCGACTGAAGCTATTCGAAAATAGAACGCAGTGAAGTTGGAGCGGTCATTTTTTCTTTTTTCTTTTATGTTCGTAATATTAACATTCTGCCTGTAGATTTGTCTATGTGTAACGTAATGGCGGATCTCTGGTATTCTTGTAGAAATATCAGGATAAAAAGTAGCCTATGTTACTGCTTATAAGTAAGCTTTCCAATTGTGATGTTTTTTAAATTGATTCTGTAATTTCCGAGCCTAGTCAATGCAATTAAATCATTCCTCTTTATGATATTAATATAGAATTTTATTAAATATGGGGGCAAGCGAGCCGACGGATCGGACTTTTAGTAAACGATTAACGTCGCCAATAGACACCCACCAGGGTTCTTAAATGTACCTTCAAACCTTCAAGAAAAGAGCGTATACTTTTTTAAAAGGCCGGTACTCTTTGTGACTCCTCTGGTGTTGTGGGTGTCGATGGGCGGCGCTGATAGCTTACCATCAGGTGATCCGTCCACTCGTTTGCTTGACTCTTGACTTCACTTCCTTGAGGAAGAACCTCTCTGTGGTTCGAAACTAGTAGAGCTTTTCTCTGTATACGCGAGTAACCCGCGGTTTTAATTAATTTAGTATATGTTTTAGTTATTATAAAAACAATTTCTAAGTGGCATTATGATCGATT